TATATATATATTAGTTTTATTGCAGGTGGCCATGCTCATGCAGCGTTAAGTAAAGGGGGGGAACTGTCATGATTTATGCTAATAATATTCTGTGCATGTGCTTGCTTAGCCCCCCTAAATAAATGAGGGCTAACTTAAAGTAATAATAATAATTGCTACAGGTGCTCTAGAGATCGCTTAGCCCTCATAAATAATTAAGAGCATGGCTAAGAATGTGCCTGTGATGAGTCATTTTTATTTTCATATAAAACTACTTTGGATTTTTATTAGGATAACCTTGTATGTGACTCTAGGCTTTTCATTTATGTAAAATTTGTAATATTGGTGAGAGTTGTGAAAATGATATTTGAGTTGGGATATTCTTATCTAACTTGAATTTCAAAAGAAGAAGGCATCCTCAAAGGGGAGAGTCTTCTTCCATTTGGAAGATCGGGTTGGATAGCTTTAGATATCCAAATAGAAAAGACAATACCCCTACTTAGGGAAGATTGTCTATTCATTTGGATATCCAAGCCATGACGAATCCAAGGAGTCCAAGGAGGAGAGATCCAAGGATTCCAAGGAGGAGAAATCTAAGAAGTCCAAGGAGAAGAAGACTGAATAGTTGAAGAATTAAAGACCCAATATCCCACTCAAAGTCATTTACGTCACTCATAGGCTTAGAAATCTGGGTTGTTGGCAGTGGTGACCGGCCACTTTATTTTCTGCAGACCCTAGGTTGTAATTAAGGGCAGTTGGTCTATGGTCATTTATTTAATTGGTTTATTTATATTGATGTGTTTACTATGCTTGCGTAGTAGAAATTGCCTATTTTTTATATGTTTCTTTTTTGCATGTCAATTTTGTTTTAATATGGATATTCGTTAGGCTCTCTAAGGACCATAAAAAATACTTCTACTCACAATCAATATTTAAAATTTTAATATTTAAATAACATAGAAATCTAACGACCTAAGGAATTGCCAGAATCTTCCGGGGTCGGATGCATATTAATGCATTCTTCTTTCTCCTTCTATGAGACACTTCCCCGCCTGCGGGTAGAGTCTAGATAATCTGACCTATGAGGATGAAGTGCCAGACCTGGGGAAGTCTACTCTCATTCTAAAAATTATTTTATAATAAACCTATTTTTAAAGTCCATAATATTCATGATTTGAGACCTTCTAAACTAGTATGCATTACATTGGAAATCAACTGAAATAAAATTTTAATTGCATTATCTAGGAGCATTTATCAAACATAAGTCCGAGACTAATTAGGAAATTTTCTAGATGTCAATCATATTTTCAAAAACTAAACTACCAATCCATCTTTCATAAAATGACTTGATAACATGGTTTTAAAGCGATTAAGTGGTTAGCTGGCTCACCAATCTAGGTTGGGATAAGTCTAGATTTTGCACTGCATTAGCTAGGACACGGGCCTTAGTGTTGTTCGTAGAATATTAAACCCAATATAGATTTAGGATTTGAGGCTACTACACTCGGTCTCGTAGTATGCCTTAATAGTGGATAAGTTCCCTATTCTTCAGGGACTATAAATCATACTTATCTACGTCATATGTATAACGCCACTTCCATAATTCTCTCAAGCATGTGTTGAGTGCTTGATTTCTTTAATTCAGTTTCACTTTAGTATCCTAGACCCTCCGAATACTGGTATAAATCACGCATGCTGATTGAGCAAAATCGGACCTTTCTTCCCTTTGGATAGGACTTCCTAGTCTTAGCCCTATGTGTTAATCCCATTTTGGAGAGGATAATGTATGATCCTTAATCGAGAGTCTTCTCAGGCTCTAGTCTGAGATGTAATTAACCACGGGGCTTGCGCCCGTGGGAAACTGAATTCCATCATATACTAAACCTTATCCGAGCTGATGCATGGGGTGGGGGAAACCCGTGACTTTGATTAGGCCATATATATTATTATCCATCGAGGTGCGCAAGCGAGAGCCACTATCCTCAATGGTTAATTGTATGTATGATCTAATCTGTCTCTTCCATTTGGCCCGTTTGCGAGGAGCGCGGAGGCCTGCGATCGTCTCTATCCCTCGGGCTAGGTGCAGTCGTATACCCCTCTGCAATCCTGCAGCCGTAGTGGTGCTCTTTCGGATGTCCACAATTATATTATTAAATGTCAGCCTTCCTTGTATACATATAAATGCTATCTATTTTCTATGTAATATAAGTCATGTAAGAAATACAAAAATATATAAATACAAAAAAATCTATCAATTTATATACTGTGCATTTACTTCAAAAAATCATATCTTTCAATTTAACATGGTAAAAATTCAATACGTTATAGTCAAAATTCAAGTTGATGAGATCTATCATATACAAAAAATTATACGGTGAAAGTTTTACCAATATAAACTTATACTAATTTTTCGGTAACGAAAACACAAATTTGATCAAAAAATTATCAAAAACACAAAATTGTTGAAAACTAAAATAGGATAACGGTCCCTTACAACGAGACAAGAAAATTTCCCAGATGCTCGACAAACAAAAATCATTTCGTGACCTCCAAAACCAAGATTCAATTTTCTCTCTCCTCTCTTTCCTCTCTCAATTCTAAAACTATTGGTGAGGGCAGCAATGCGCCTATATAGGGGATGACATCGCGCACACAAGTGCACCGTGCTTGCATGAATAGTATGGGATGCTAGATCTACCATAGAAGACCAGCTATGTGGGAGCGGGTTGCAGGTGGGATTCAAGGCAATTAGATATATCGGGTCAATTTCGGATTGACCGGGACCCAACCCATTTTTTAAACGGGTCAAAAAATAAAACCAAAACTCGACTCGTTTATTAAATGGGTAAACCTAGATTTTTTTGGTCAAGTTTAGCTCAAGTTATTGGGATATATCAATAATTAACACCCCTAGTATCAAATATATTAAAAATGATAAATTAAGTTTATAGCACGGCCAATTTTAATTAGAATTGATACGTCCTCCAAAAAATTATCTTAATCCGGCGCGAATCTAGATGCAAAATCAAGTTGGAAACTTCAAAAATTAATTCGGAGACCATCCGAACTTCGATTTCAGCAATGTGCATTAACTTCAAAAAATCATATCTTTCAATTTAACATGGTAAAAATTCAATACGTTATAGTCAAAATTCAAGTTGATGAGATCTATCATATACAAAAAATTATACGGTGAAAGTTTTACCAATATAAACTTATCCTAATTTTTCGGTGACGAAAACACAAATTTGACCAAAAAATTATCAAAAACACAAAATTGTTGAAAACTAAAATAGGATAACGGTCCCTTACAACGAGACAAGAAAATTCTCCAGATGCTCGACAAACAAAAATCATTCCGTGACCTCCAAAACCAAGGTTCATTTTTCTCTCTCCTCTCTTTCCTCTTTCAATTCTAAAACTATTGGGAGAAATAGATTTAAAAAAATTCTTTTAACTTAACTAATTAGTATATTTAAGATATTTATAATAAAATATTAATAGAACTATTTAATTTAATCATTTTTAATATATAATTCATATAAATCATTTTGGGGCTTTAAAAATTAAAGAAATATATTTATTAAATAAATTATTCCATTTAAAAATTATTTGTGAAATCGGTTTATAAAATAGACTTGTGATGCTCCCAAAGTCTCACTTGTATTAATATGTGTCAATTTTGTAAGGTTTTGTACTAGTGCCCGAAAATTACGAAACAATTAATGTAGTTAAAATACTATAATGTAAAAATTGTGGCAAATATAATTTTCAAAATTGGCTTAAAATAACTCCTAAAAATTTTATTTTCTTAGGTTAAAATATAGGCTATTACAGCAGGGTGCGAGAAGCCAGAGGGGGGTCGAGTCGTGAGGGTAGCGATGCGCCTATATAGGGGATGACATCGCACGCACAAGTGCACCATGCTTGCATGAATAGTATGGGATGCTAGATCTACCATAGAAGACGAGCTATGTGGGAGCGGGTTGCAAGTGGGATTCAAGGCAATTAGATATATCGGGTCAATTTCGAATTGACCGGGACCCAAACCATTTTTTAAACGGGTCAACAAATAAAACCAAAACTTGACTCGTTTATTAAATGGGTAAACCTAGATTTTTTTTGGTCAAGTTAGCTCAGGTTATTGGGACATATCAATAATTAACACCCCTACTATCAAATATATTAAAAAAGATAAATTATGTTTATAGCACGGCCAATTTTAATTAGAATTATGACTTCCCTTTTTCTTATAGCACTAGAACATGCTCTTATGTACTAGAACATGGCTTATAACCACTAGAATAAGTCTTATATACAGTAGAATATTTTCTGATATAGACAAAATCTAAAAGGGATTTTTTTTTTAAATAGTAAATCAACTTAAATTTGGATTTTTTTATACACTAAACAGTTCATTTTTTTTATAATTTTTTAAAATAAATCAGATTTTCGGGTCAATTCGGACTGACCCCTTACCCGACCGAGTTAGATTCGGGTTAAGAAAATAAATCGGAAATACTAATCGGGTTGGATCCGAATCGGATGAACATAAGACGAGTTGAAGTCAGATTCCATCCGAGCACGACCCGCCCATCGGTTTTGACACCCGCATATATTGAACAGTGAACCCAATAGAGGGACCTGAGAGCCGTCTTCTCATGGAATCCTTCTTCCGTTGCTTGCTTACTGGTTCAGTGTAGGTGACCTCTTCTGAACCCTAGGTAAATTCCAGTCCCTTCCCTCCTAAAAGCGCTCTCCAACACTTCTCGCTTCTGCCGGAAGATAAGCAGCGGCTGCCGTTGAGGCGGAGGTGGAGAAGTTGCTGGGATGGAGAATCACAAGATAAATGTTGTCAGGCTCCGCGTACGCGTTACGGCGAAGAGCCGAGGGAAGGAATCGGAATCCTCCTCTGGATCTTCAAATAAGCCGAGGGAACGGGAGTGCATGAATTCAGTGACGAAGCTCCAGCGTCGGGAGATCGGTGGGTTCCAGCGGATTGACCGCGGCACATCGTCGAATGCACCTGAGAAGTTCAGGAACATTCAACTCCAGGTCCGTTTCACGACCATATCCTCACTTTCACTCAATTTTGTTACGCTTCTGGCTGCTGGAACTAGAGTTTATTGTGTTTAGGGTTTGGAGCTTCAAGTTCGGCACTTGCTTTTTTTTTTTGTAATAGTTCGGCACTTGCTCTATGTGCTTGGGGCGTGACTGATATCATCTGGTCATGGATGCTGTCAAAAGTCCTGCTTTTGGTTTCGTTTACCGTTTTTTGGTGTTGAGGGTTATGAAGTTTACTATACTCGTTATTTGTGGCCTTTGGTCTTTTCCGTTCACAACAGTTAGATGGTGGCATGGTGCTTCTATTGTTATAGTTGTTTTATGATGCATCAGAATCTAGAGGGGCAAGGACAAATTTATTCATGGGTGTTCGTCATCATTATCCTAATCGAAACTATTATGGGATTCACGCAATGAATTTTACTTGTCTCTTCCCCTATTAATGTATATTAAGTTCTACTTGAATGTTAATTTTATTATTTGAGCCTTTTTATGCCATTTCTTAGATCTCAGATATAACATTATTGCATAGTTACTCATTTATCTACCCATTTTATTAGGCTGCTATACTTTTTACTATTATATTCTTAATAGATGCGATTCTCACCATTTCTTACTTGATGGTTTTTAGTATTTCCACAAATTTTTCTTAATAGTCCACACATGATTAGAGTATTAATGACTTATGCTGTCTAACACACTAATTCATATAGCATAACCAATCTATTCTCCATGTTTTGTAAACTTATACTTAAGTCTCCATGGTATTCTCTTGTTGCATGATACCTTTTTGATGAATCATAACCAAGAAGCTTTATCTTGAAATGTTATATCCTTATTTATATCCTTATTCTTTTAGATAATGTATGCAATATATTTACATATCTCATACTTAGGTATCATCATAACCATCAGCCTTTTCCCAATTATTTTTGGCTTTGACTTTTTCATTATTTCATGTATCACTTTTTTTTTTATTAATTTTAAGCCCTGTCTTCTAAAATTCTTGTTGTTTATCTAGCATTTCACTTATGAAAGGTGTATTACTTATTATTTTTTTATATGTAAATAGTTGACTCTTGACTCGTGGGTTCCTCACTTTGACCATATTTAGTTGACATTTTTGTGAGTTTAAGGTACACACACAAAACAGGGTTAGATTTGGTTATGTACTTTTGCAGTTTATGCTTTTCTTTCAAAATTTAACCAATCTAAACCCACATAATGTGCATGCAATATAATATAAAAAATATACATACCATGCACAATTTTATATAATCAAGGAAATCACTCTAACCAAATAATTAAACACTGTGCGTATGCAGTTGTTTTTGATGATGGTAAGCTAGATGTGTATGTGACTAGTAAGCACAATATATAGTGATATTACTCAAACACAAGCTAATAACACTTAGAATGTCAATTACTATAACAAGTAAAGCTAATGTCAACAATATGTATGATGGTGATGTGAAACATAATTACAATGTTATGAGAGAATAGAGATTACAACAACATTGAATACCAGTCCATGATCACTCTCATTTTAATAGTATGTGAATGTTGAAAATCACAATACAAACATATGAAGCAATGTATAATTAACTTACACAAAGCATGATGATAATAGTAATGACAAAATGTTGAGAGAGTATGCGGCATTATAAAGATCAATCTAAAAGTGACATTGTACCACCAACATGTGATCATATAATCATCAATCATCACAAGAATGTAACTCAATGAAATTGCAATTTAAAATAAATCCAGGAATATATAAACAGGACAACACTACTTTTGTATGGTTTGGCACAACCTGACCTAAGCTCTCCTTCACTTAGGATTCTAGTACCAATCACTCATTTGCTCGCAAGTTAGTGGAGAAACTGGTGCACATTATTACTTCAAAGAGAATAACCCCACCTTACCTTGATTATAGGCAAGTGCACCATTCTAAACCAAAGCTTAGCAACAATCAAGGAAAGTTTTCCAAAGTTTTCCAAGGTTTTGGTAGTGAATAAGTCTATCACCAATAAATTATAACTGTTAAATACAATACTTTCTCTATACAAATAAATGATTGTCTAATGTAGAAGAGCAGAACTTAAATACAATCTAAGATATTGATAGAGAAAGGTGTTAGACCGATTGTAATCAAGAAGACTTAAAAGGGCATGAACGCGTTGAACCTTATTTAAGATGCTGATATTCTTTGACACATTCTTCTCCAAACTTCTTTTTTTGGTTTCGAGTGAAATAATTAATTTTAAGCTATTAGAACATTAGATCTACATAGGAGATGAATGGAGAGTAAAGCCAATTTAAAACATTAAATTTTGTCCTTAGAAGTAGGAAATATGATCAATTCCAAACAACACAAAAAAAAACTACCCATTCAATGACACCTTCATAAAGACGTGCAATTTTTTCTCCCATGCAAAGAAGAAACATAATCAATTCCAAACAACTCTTAAAAATTAGCCATTCATTGATTGTTTTGTGAATAAGTGAAAGTTCTTATTTTTATCATGACATAATTATTTTATAACATTAAGATATAATTTTATATATAAAAGTTTATGTAACCAACTTAATGAATCAAATGGATTAAATATATAATAATTGTAATTTAATAATTAATAAAATTAATTGATAATCAATACATAAAATCATCTTTAATAAATTTAATGGATTAAATAGGACATTTAGCTCAAATAAAATTGTCAAAAACTATGTGATTTGATACACAATTATAAGTAATTCAAGTAGCATTTATATCATTATTATTAGCATTGTCCCAATTATTTGTAGTTGGCTTAATGAATCCTCATTTTTTATTCACTTTTTTCTTGAATGTTGCTTGAATAATTAAACCTAATTTTTACTAATCATTTTGTACAAATTTTATGGTTTCTAACTTATATCTAACCTCTCTCCTTTCTAATATTTCAATGCTAATGTTATCAACCCATCTAATGGGTGCAATTTCTACCCTCCATTGTCCATGTCCAAAGTGTTCCTCTATTATTAGCATTCTTTAATTCTAACTTTGGTCACATGTTCATCTTAACATTCTTAGCCGAGTTACCCTTAACTTAGCTATCAATTACTTGCTTATTGCTCTGCACTTGGATCCATATCATTATCATCATCTAGCCTTATCCCAACTATGTGGGATTAGCTTGATGAAGCCTCTTTTTTATTCATTCTCGTGGATTGTTGTCTAAGTAGTTAAGCTCGTTATTCAAAAATTATTTTGAACATTTTTATCCATGTTATCTTAAGCCTGGCCCTTCTCCTTAATCCTCCAACACAAACTTTATGTACTTGTTTAGTGGATGCACATGTCCAAACCCAATAAGTTTATCTTGAGTATCTTGCTCTTTTTTTTTCTTTAATTTAATGTTCATTATTTTATACTTCATAGTTTTCCTACAAATTGATTCCTTGCTCAACATAGCTATTAGCTAATTTTTTATTGCTCAAAATTTAGATTCATATAAATCATCAGTGTAATTATTGTTTTATAACAATTTTTTCATGATATCCTCTTATTTAATAATATTACTGAGGCACTTTTTCATTTCTACTATCTAGCCATAATTTTAAAAATTATATTCTCATCCATATCCACACTTTTTATATGATAAATTCAAGATACTTAAACCTATCACATTTAGGTTTCAGTTTGTCTTCATGTTATTGAATTGTAATTGTTAATATTACATCCACTAAAATTACATAACATATACTCCATAATTGTTCTACTAATTTTAAATAGTTTTTCTTCTGAATATTGTCTCTATTATTTTAAATTCAACTTATTTCAAATGTTTTCTCTTCAATTGGATTATCTGCAACTGCAAAAAACATAAACCAAGTATCTCCTTTTGGATATCCTTTGTAAGAACCTTTATAATAAGCATAAAAAGATATGGACTTAACATTACTTCTTGATGTAATTTTATTGTAATTAGAAACTCTTTGGCCACCATACAATTACTTATAATACTAGTTAGTGTTTCATTATACAGATTTATAATATTTTCAATATACATTTGATATGAACATTTCTTCTTAAGTTGCATTAAATCAATCCTGTGAGACTTGATCATATACCTTTTTAATATTAATAAAAATCATATAATGGTAAGTCTTTTACACTCTATGCTTTTTCATTACTTGTTTGAACTTAAAAACTACTTCCATAGTAATTTTTTTTGGGGAATGAAACTATTAAATTGATAGAAGTCTCAAGTCGCCTAAGAGAAACTTCTTATATTAAATAACATATTTTTAGGTTAATGCCTGTAGTTGACTTTCCAGTTAATCAAATATTCAAATCTTATTTCAAATCTGGATCAGGTTCAATAAGGTTGTACCACTTGACCAATTTACTAAATCCTTAAGTCACCTAAGCGAAACTTCTTGCCAAAGTCGCTTATGTCTACTTGCATTTATGTTGAAGTCATCAAGCAAAGGGCCAACATGCCTATGAAATTCAATAATTGAAGTGATCTATTTGTCAAAAGAACTCGTCAAAGAGAACCATTGATAGAATTTGTCAGTGGAAATTGAAGATGTTGATAGAAGTTGTCAGTGGAAATTCATCTTCAAGAATTTGTCCTCAACTTGGATCTCATTAAGAGTTTGCTCAAGTTTAAAATAATTGTTAGCCAATTAGATTTATTCATTGTATAATAAGTATTATTAAGCATTGCTATATCATTTTGCTTGCATCATTTGATTATAGCCATTCTTGAGGCACTCAAAGTTGACATAAACTTATAATTAAGCGGGCAGAAGATGAGTTCAGCACATTCTTATAGGATCATGTCATATCAGTATTGTACTTTGTGAACTAAATATAATAAGATCCTCAGTGTTTTTCTTTCTAACTTTTTCTTTATCTCTCTTCATTGTCTTTATGGCTTGATATATGCTTGTTAACAAGGTTTTAGCGTCACATAACAGCATATTTTGATCTAGCA